TCTAAGTGCCTATAAGTGCGGGCAGTTGCGGCAATAGAAATGCCGACCGCGGTTTATGGTCGGTCTACACGTTTATTATCACCAAAAAAAAAGTCCCAGTCCGAAATCCGTGCCCAAATTGGTCAAAATCCAAAATGGCCGCCGGTTTTGGAGTGTAAATTCCGATTCCCACCCAATTATCATAATGTAATCGAGTTTGGTATCAAAATATACGTTTCCGGGGTAACTGAATCCATTTTCATACACACTTTTGTGATAAGTGTTACCGCTGAGTCAATATTGGGGGTTATTCAAGATGGCGGTCAGTTTTGGCGGGATTTTAGTGATTAAGTTGTTTCCTGTGTCAATGTAGAAGAAATTCTAATTACGGATTTAGATTTCCGGTTGGGGATTGGAGATTAGACCTAACAATGACATTCATCCAGTATCAACTAAATTTCATATGGAGTGTCCCCCAGCTCACTGCGGTAGCCGTGTAGGGGTGTGTCGACTGGGGCCACTCTCAGGTCACTGCGGAGTATTAGTATCTTGGTGCTTTAAATTCTGCTTCCACAGAAGTCGCGAAGCTTGTCGTGCCTTTTGAAGCACGTGGCGACTTTATTTCACAAAATGTTTCAAATGTTGAGGCACATATGAATACAGTATCGCCTGTTTTCATATATGCAATGAGCCATTTGATAATGAACAACTCACCGTTATTGCTCAATATTGAAACGCTGTTGAAGTGGAGGAACCTGTATCAAGGTCTAGACGGTCCGCGGTGCCAAAATTCATTTTTGCGGACCATTTTCTTTTACATTGTCCGTAGGAAAGATTAGCAGACTGTCCATTACAACAGATATAATCGGTGACCGCTGTTGCAACATTAAACAGAAGTCGCAACACCTATTTTTTGGACATGCCAAGACAGGACAAACGACCACTGGGCATTAATCCAGAGATACTACACAACCAATCACACTCAATGTACGTACAGAATATGTTCGTTTTTCATTGATGATGTAAGGTCCCCATACAAGCTCAATCAGACCCTGATTTCCACGGCTGACTTCCAGAATAGATTTCACAGCCGGATTACTATTTCCATTAAATTCAGAATCCACTAATTTGTCTTAGTTTTATTTATTGATCTAACTGAATTCAGGAAAATTGCAACACGGGTAATGGGAACCTTTTTGTCGGTTAGCATACTCAAGGGCAATACGCTAACCGTCACCACAAACTCTATTGACATTTAATCTGTCACCAATAACTTCCTTGGTCTGGCTTAAAGTGTATCTTATCCGTCGTCTCGTTCTTGGGGTTGTCAGTCTACTTTCAATTCTATCCCCACTCCCCACCCCTCCCTTCATTTGGGAACAGAATCGAATGAAACTTGGCAGGTACCCTTTGTAAGGAATACCAGTTCTTTTTGATGCTTGTTTCTCGTTACTCACGGGAGCTTTAGTTCTTGATTGCAGCTAACGATGTTCTTGTTCAGATCCTTAGGACTTAATCATAATCCCTTAACCATGTGTCAACCTATTGTATGTCATGGCTCTCATAGACGTCAAATGGCTTCTACCATGTGCCACAGAACTCAAATTTTCCTTTGGTCATGCCTGTCACGCTTCTTCCGTAGTGAACAGTGGTCAGCCAGAGAGTCTAGTTGATGCTTGATGAATAAATACTGTAACACTATCTTAGTGATAACAGATATCAGTTTAGTAAATATATGATTTATTTACATCGGGTATATAAAACAGTTACATAACTATAACATGAACATATATTAAGCATAAACTAGACTACGACAAAAACACATCAGGACGGTGCATAAATATATTAAATTCACCATTCCGCCCCTCCGCCAAGGCAGCGCCTGAACTCGGGTGAGTCCGTGCACTCGTCCAGGCCTCTCTTCTCCTCCCCGCTCGTCTCTGGTGTCTGTCTGTCAGCAAACTCCTTGTTATATATCGTCCGACAATAGGTAAATAGATAAGCCTCAACTGCCTCATGACCATATATGGAATTGTCTTCTTATCACGTCATTGTATGATTACTGACCAGTGCGTATTCCTTTGAAGTCATGCCGAGTGTTGTACACAGATCACGTGTAGCTTGTAAAGGACATGTTGAATTAATTACATGTTTAATTACAACACAGACAGTCGTGAGTTAAGAGAAGTACATACAGGTCAATATCATAGATATTATCAAAAACCAGCTGTAGGTCAATAAGTTCAATTTGATAAAGGTTATAAATCAATTTGTCACAATCTAAGGCAGACTCGACTACCCTTAATCACCAAATCTCCAATGGGATTTCCACATATTTTGACCAAGGGGAACCAGTTAATTACCAAGTTGAAAACATGTGTCGAAAATGGAATCAGCTGCCTCCAAAACGTATATTTTGATACCCAATGTGTCATTTTGTAAAATTTGAATTTTCCCGCCAAAATTAACCGCCATCTTGAATTATTTCCCAATGTTGACTCCGCGGTATTACTAATCACCAAAATGTGTATGGAAATGGCTTCAGCTACCGCGAAAGAATATATTTTGATACCAAACTCGATCACATTATGATAAGTGGGTAAAACTTGGCATTTTCTAATCAAAACTGACGGCCATTTTGGATTTTTGCCAATTTGACCCATTTGAGCATAAACCGACCATAAACCGTGGTAGGCATTTCTATTGCAGCAACTACCCGGAATGGTGCGAAATTGAGTTAAAATGCCTGGGCTATAAAGGATTTTTATATATATGCCAGTTATATTTACAGAGATACGGCGCAAATGTGAGATATTTTTCTGATCATTTCAATAATCCACGATATTAAATTACCCAAAGTATTTTTTTTATACGCCCACAACTGAAGTGTGGTCGTATATTGTCGTCACCTCCGTCCGTTCGTCCGTCTGGCGTCCACAATTGCTTACGGGCGCTCTAGAGGTTAAAGTTAATATTCGAATGACTTTCAATTTATACACAGTCTTTAAGGTCATGAGACGAAGAAGTCTATTGATTTTCAACGATTTCCGATAATTTCCGCCTGAGTTATGGCCCTAGATCACTTTGAAGAATCTTGCGGGCGCTCTACAGGCTAAATTTAATATTCGATTGACTTTAAATATATGCACAGTGATTAAGGTCATGAGACGAAGAAGCCTATTGATTTTCAAAGATTTTCGATAATTACTACCAGAGTTATGGCCCTTGATGCTCTAGAGGCTAAAGTTAATAGTTGATTTACTTTAATGACTTTAAATTTATACACAGGGTTTTAGGTCATGAGAGGAAGAATCCTGTTGATTTTTACCGATTTCCGATAATTACTGCCAGGGTTATGGCCCTTGACCTCTTTGAAAAATCTTGTAGTTTAAAGTTAATAACTGGTTGACTTTAAATTTATACACAGTGTTTAAGGTTATGAGACGAAGAAGCCTGTCAATTTTCAACGATTTCCAATGATTATGGAAATTGATATTAAATGTTTTGTATGCTAAATGTTAGAATAGGGCAGAACTAGAAGCCAAATGGGTTGTTACTTGTAATCAGATTGTAGTGTGTTGTAAATGTTTTCATTTCTGGCGAAAAAAATAAATTATAAGCGACAACCCTTGTTGACACCACAGACGACTTAGCTGCTGTGGGAGTATGTTTCGTTGCCTGGCAACCTATCTTTCAATTGATTGGTTGGACTTCGCTTCATTGCACATAATTATAAGGCTAACTTCTTTCGGGTAATCGTTTCTGCATCAGCTGTTAGTTCAATTCAGTTGTCAGAGTAGTATACATTTCAGTAGTGTCATAAAGCCTTACATTCAAAATTTTAGAAATTTAATGGAAGAACATTGATAATACGAATACGAAATAATTAAATTGATTTTTTTGAGTAAAATTTGGTAAAGTTTATAATAAAATTATTCTTCGCTTTCATCTTATTTAATTAATTATATTGGTTTAAGGTTACCAATTCAAATGATTAGTATCATGTTGTTTTGTGACATCGATGGGCTAAATTTACGATGTCTTCTTTGTTGAACCGTATATACTAACTGCAAATGACCAGGTTTACTCAATTCTTATCAACTTCTTTATCGACGAATGTCTGATTGGTTGAAAAGAACAGGTGTTCGTCACACTTTATATTCTCGTCAAGTTTTATAGACCCCATCGACTCTCAACATCCTACTATTATTCTCTGTCAACACGTACTGTGTATTTCCTTGTGTTATTCATTTATGTAAAGCACAGATCATATCAATATATAAGATAAAGTTAAAGGCCAGGGTTCATGTTATATTTTTGTAAGGTGCTTATAATGAAATGACACATTTTTGCACAATCAGTTATGACCACAGTGGTAATCTCCTTATAACCGCTGCATTGTTGCTGATAATTGGTGTAATGAATAGATAATGAAGCAAACAGTTTGTTTTTAAGAGAAAAGTTGTCTGGATAATAAGTGTTACATGTAGAAGTTGATCAGAGACTTCATAAATATTAAACTGATTACGCAGTACTGTTCATTCGATTAAGTTAATGACACATGGTAATGTTAGTTGTGCGACTTGGCAACAGATGTTCCTCATGTGTTCAGACCGATCACCTATATCGGATATTGGTACAAGTCATACTTAACATTGATTGCAAAGTTGGGTGAAACTGGCGAGGACGCTTAATGTGTGAGGTTCAACTATTTGGATACAGCAGACAATTACATGCTAGAAAATCAACACGTCTAATTTCCAGGGTTCAAACAAAGCGGGCTGTCGGTTTATTAATGGTAAGACAATCTTTCTTGTCTGGTCTCTACTCATGAAATGCTATATAACACTCGTGATAAATTTAGAAAATGGTTCTAAGTGATATCCCAGAAGGCGCCTGGCGACGCGTGCATTCAGTAATATGAAATGACCTTAATTTTCATAATTTCTTAATTGTATAGCCTCCGGAATAATGTCCACAGAGCCCGTGCATGCAATGACGTCACGTAGCGACCCCACAACGTGATCGATTGTGTACGGCGATATTCTGTGTGTTGTTTCAATGCAATACATTGGCATATTTTTCAACGTCTTTGTTCTGTAAGGCTGAGGCCGATTCGTAAGACTTGTAATTTTTAGGGCCAAAAGGGTGTCTAATTTACCAAATAGTGAAATGATAGGGTTGGATAGCTGTTTTTAACCGCCGCCTTTCTGTATATTGCAGTGCTGCCGGCCTCGATGTGACTCGCTCTGCTGTTGATTGGACGTGAAGGGATATAGAGAATTATTACATAGCATTCACCGTATCTCGCTGGTTCACGACCGTGTCGAGATCTCACTTTTTATGCAGAAGCACAGCAAGAGCGAGTACCAGGGTGAGGAGACGGTGTTGTAGGGGGTCAAAACATCTCGGATTCTCCCACATTGTGCGGGCGGGGTGTGGATAAATTTTAATCAACACGGAAGCGGAGGTTTCATAGCAGATTTTGTGAAAGCTATAGCTGGATATTATCAGTCAGAATGGGGTGTACTCTCAGCGCCGAGGAGAGAGTTGCTATGGAACGGAGTAAAGCCATAGAGAAAAATCTCAAAGAAGATGGTATCCAAGCAGCAAAGGATATAAAACTGTTGCTTTTAGGTAAGATAATTGTAATGCAATATTGATTTGATGTGCACAAAGCCGACGTTGCATTAATGAATTGAAAACATTCACCGGCTAGAGAAACATGATTGTTATTATGCGGCCGCCATTTTGGATAACTCATAGACATTGGCATTACCATTACCAAAATGGCACCGAGTACACAAGTCTGATTTTACATTAATTCCTGGCATTACTGGTGATTTTCTTTAAATTTATATCAATAAAGAGTCGTATTCTTTTACTGGTGTATTATTTCTTTAATACTGACACTGTTAACTTTCGGTTGTTTTTTTTACTATTCTTAGGTGCGGGCGAATCTGGGAAAAGCACTATAGTGAAACAAATGAAGTAAGCATTTTTATTTTTATTCCTGCATACATTACTGTATTAGTAAATGGCATGTCTGGGGGCCGAGGTAGGGTTCATAAGTATATTGGACATCTTCACATGCCATGTGCCCATTATATGGTGATTGCTTGTTTAATAATCCCATCTTATTCTTATTTTCTGGTTTCTCTCACTATCATTTGGTATTCTCCAGACTAAAGAAGGGTTTAATTTAGACATTCGATAATTCTAAATCTGAATGGACACATTTAGAACAAATCAAAACATTTCATGAACATGTGGTTATTCTTCACCAACAACCTATTAGGGTTTTAAAATGATTAGTCATCCTAGAATGCGTTTAAATACATTGGCTTTGGATTAATGAGCTTTGGATCATAGTTCATTCAAAGGTTATATGTATTTTACCAAATCTTTACCTAAAGAGATTAACTCCATTAATTGTATTATCGGCACTATGGACTGTATGGGTCTCGTATTTCGGTAAATGACCTAATCAAACTGTGAAGTATGGTCAGCTTGACGTCTGTCTGCTGGTTTTGAAGTGATTATATATTTTGAAAGTGTAAATAACCCTGTCCACTCATCCGGATCATAGCCCATTATTGTAGGGCAGCTGGTCTTCTGATTACCCACTGTATCATTTAAGCTGTCATAAATCGCTGTAATGTCATAATAATAGATTGTCATGGCGCCATCTTCTTTCTCTGTTGTTCCAGTTTATTCTTAGCCAGACAAGAAAGCATAGTCGAGTGATATTATGTCATAATGACAATTTTATTCAGTTTTAATAGCAAACGGTTGTAATAAACTAGCCTAGGTTAAGAAAAACATATTTAAAAAGCAATAGGCAATCGTAAATGTAGATTTCACACAACCATGATTCATAAATTATAGCAGACTACGTTACTTAGCTATTCAAAATGGAGGCTCGTTTTCTCAGTTCTATCGACAGCCGTGTGCTTGTTGTAAAATTGAAAACCATCAAATGAGAATTTATGCTCACTAAAAGATTTAGACACTGATCGAGAACTAATATTTGTTGTTAACAAATAAGCAAGGAGACAAAATCATCCGTTGAAAGAACGATATTTCAGCCATATGTTCCATTTAAAGAAAGCGCAATACTCTCCACGACAGGGTTGATCTGCAGATCGCGCGCATTACCACAGAAAATGGCATTTCATAGAATGAGTGTTGGTACCCGGTATAGGTCTACAATCTGCGCAAATAAGGATATCGATCAGGGCTGCGCCCATATCGGTGGTTGTTAAATAGTGTTTAATATACCAATAAATATTTGTTGGCGTAGCGCAATTATGTGAATAGACAAAAATCACCAATTTTTAAATAGCACAGGCTAACAATATGTAAAGCTGCGTGTATGTGAGTGGTTTAGTATATCGTGCAAAACTCAAGATGTAATTTCTTAATCCACGATTTTGAATTAGGGCAATTGATATTACCAAATGATAACTTACGAAAGAAGACATAACGACTCCCTTGTTCACATATTGTAATACTTCAAGGACTGACCTATACTTGAGTTATGTAACCAATATGGGGTAACAATAAGAATCTTATACAATACACCATCCAAAGGTACAAATGAATAGGTAACTAGCCAAATTCAACTACATGTTGATGTGGGATCTTCATCTATTTACGTGTATATTTTTGGACATTCACTCCATTTAAATGCGTATGAATTGTGCTAAATTAATGAATTATTAAGAAAATAACAACACATACAATTCATTTATCACATGGGAATGACAGTATATTTTTCGTCTGTATACATGTATACTTAAAAATGGTAGTTACATGAATATTGTTTTTGAATCGATTAAACTTATTCAGAAAATAATACATGTACACTACTACTAGTTCCTCTATTATAATATTATAATCAGTAAGATTAAATGAACATTTAGACGTGTTATCTTATCTCATAAATTTATAAGAAGTAATTATTAATTTTTCCTTATGTTGGATTTTGTTAGTCAAATCCCCACATTTCTTAAAATTATAATATGAATAACCATGTAACTTTTAATGGGGAAAAAGTAGAGTGTTTTTTTATGGCAATTTTATTTAATCTTATAAATAATAGCCAGAACGGTGAATTATTTATAAATATCATTTTGATATTGACCTTAAAGCTTCGTGATTTCCTACGATAAAAAGTATAGAAATTGGTCATTTACACACTAAAATAATTAATGTTTTATTATATGAAAATCTAAGAAATCTTTATACGAAACTAAATATACATATAATGGCAAATCGGATAAGTTTTGTTTGATGGTTGCCGTTTATCTGAACTGGATTATCTTTCCATATTCGACCATAATATATATATACATGTATACACACACACACGCATGTATAAGCAACTATACCATTATTTTGTCCACCTCCTCAAGTATCTGTAATAAATCAGGAAATGACAGATACAGTCAATATCACAGATGATATACTGTTTTATATACTGTAAGGTACATGTACATACATTCGAAACGATAGCAAATTGACTGTCAACAAAAGAAAATTCACAACACACATTTTTTATACGTCCACATGGAAATATGGTCGTACATACGGTACATGTATATTGTCATCGCCCCATCCATCCGTCCGTCCGTCCGTCGTCCACAATTTTTGAAATTGAAATATGTTGTTTACATTAGAGAGATGAAGAATCCTATTTAATTTCAATAATTTTCGTTAATTACTTCTAGGGTTATGGCCCTTGTTTCACTTTATTGCACCTTGTGAAGGCTCTAACAACAACAAAAATATCATCCGATCTGTATGAAATTTATGTGCATCGTTTAATTTAGTGACACGAAAAAGACTATTGAATTACAGCAATTTATGTTAACTACGTCTAGAGTTATGGCCATTGCTTTACTTTGTCGAACTCTGTGAATGCTCGAACGACAAGTCATCATCCGATCTATATACGAAAAAGGCTGTCGAATTTCAACAATTTTTGTATATTGCTTCCAGAGTAAAGGTCTTTGTTTCAGTTTGTAGCACCTTGTGAATCCTCGAAGGAAGAAAATTTAATATGATCTGATCTGTATGAAATTGTCTTGTAAATGCCCCCATTACCTACAAAAGATTAAATATGCGACAACAATTGTTGACCAACGGATGATTTAACTGCTGTGGGCGTATGTTTCGTTGCCTGGCAACCTATTTTAAGAGATATATTTGTAGGCCTGCCAATTTTGCCATCAACATTGGAAATTCTTAAAAGTTTCTTTTAAGACACGTTCTGTCTTACCGGTGTAATAAAATGCTGAATTTACAGCCATAATTCGAATTATGTAGTATTTTAAAAACAGATGGACATGTATCTCATAAGAAGATTTAGCATCGGATTTTACTCAAAGCAGCAATATAATGGATTTGTTAAATTTTAAGCTAGTGCACTACTGGTATTTGTACCGAAGAACGCATTGGTCTCCTGATATACATAGTTATCACAGACATTTTTTTACCTATGTGAGCTACATCTACATGTACCTGATGTGAAGAGGTGTGCTCTTGATTAAGCAGACACAGACTCGCCCTTTGTTCTGTACCTGTGGTGATTTATATGGTGGCCTCCGCGTTCCGACTTGGCCAGGAAAATACAGCCATCGGTTATTGGTAATACTGGGATGGTTAGGAGATGGATGTACATGTACATGTACCTTACATAAGGTGTCAAAATATCTGGATGTTAACCGCGTTCTAAAAACTGGACTGATTGGGACATACATGTACATGTAGTGGGACTTATAATTATTAAAACAGGTCAGCGTAATGGGGTGTCTTGGACGCCAATAAAACCAGTAACGTATGTGTAATCGGATTAGGGAATGCATTACATTTCGGAAACGGTGATGTTCACGAATTTCATCAGATGCAATAGAATGGGTCAATGTACACAAGCATGATCTCATAAAGTTAAGCAGATCTTTGCTATGGTAATTGTTAATGTTGTCATCGGGATTGTAATTTTGAGGCTTGGATTCTGGGCACTAAACCAAAACACCTCAGGTAAATGTTAAATTTTTAAAAATTGTTCACAAGAAAAGACTAGCTACTACATCCTTTGTGTTATCTTTTATGTACATGTACATCTTAATGAAAATGATATTGTGTGCATTTTGACAAGGACCTATATATGAGTGATTATTTAAAGACAACACAAGTTCTTACTGAAAATTACAGCTCTAACAAATTTTTGTGGTAATGAGAAGGTGACAGAATTATGCACATTGGAAAAGGAGCTTTCGTAAACCAACATAAACTGGCCGCTTGGTTAGGTGGAGATAGTAGGTTTGGAAATTGAATCTCCGCTAGGGTTGGGCCTAACCCTAACATTTGGAATAAAATATATTTGTCATCTTGGATTCTACTGGAGGTGTCGGTTACAGTTAAATTTAGCCGCTTTTTATTTAACTTTAAAATAGTGCTGGCAACTCGAATACTGCTAAATATTGGACTTCCTCGCATCAGGTGCGTCTGAAACTACTATTGTTATAGTAATGCATATTACGTATTCCGGGAATTCCAGACGTATATTTTAATTATAAGTGGACCTCAAGAAACTTCGATCTTGCATATGCGTTTTTAATAAAGGATCACATGGCGAATCAACGCAAGATTGATACTGGTATATGTCACCAATGCACTGTCGAGCTCTCAGTATATTAACTTCCATACTAGTTATTGTGAGGTATGGTCATCAACGCCTAGAAAGGTCTATGGACATGTCATTCTGTCGGGGAAAGTGTAAGATGTTGATCGAAATGTTATTCAATGAAAGGATTTCAGACAGCAAAGGAGTATCGTCACCTGAATTCGAACCAGTCGTGCGGTCGGTTAAATCTATGGTGTTTGCTTTTCATTTGCTAATGCTTTTTGTTTAGTGAAGGATATTCGTCATGCTCATCGGCGCATTGTTTTATTGATTATGTAATATTTCTCCTTACAAGGCCTCT